TACTTTATGATATTAATATTGCTACTTCTCTTGGTCCATATTTTTCTAGTATATATAATTCCTTTCAGTTTTACATTTTCTGAATCATTATGTTTTCTGCTATAAACAGCATAAAATTGTTTTGTAAATGCAACCTGAAAATCTCTATGCTTTACCTAACAAGGTTGATCCATTTACATTTATTTAATGTCATATGTTCACATTTATTACTGCCTTTTAATTTGTTTTTTTAATATATTATTCTTTTAATTTGCTTTTTTAAAAAAATCCTGGATTCTCACAGATTGAGTCAACATTTTCAAATTCCATTTCTATGTCCTTTTACTGATTAGCTTCTCTCAGCAGATTTTGAAGACCTTTTCCTTTAGAGTTTATTCTCTAAAGTTTTTGCATATATCCTAGATTTAACAAATGCTAAAATTAATCATTATCTCTGCTCTTTTCCAGAACAATGCTACAATCTTAGAATAATTTTACTTGATCAGACCTGTTTCATATTCTTATTATTTCTTTTTAATATGTGAGTTCTAACTTATTTTGAATCCTTCCCAAATTATTACTTTTACTATTAGATTTACAATTAATATCTATTTACAATAATTTTCAATTTTTTTATCATTGTTTCTTATGTATTTTTCCATCTTTTGGGGTAATTCTCTTCCTACTGAAGTATGTCCTTCATTAGTTCTTTCAGTAAAGGTCTCTACGTAATGTGTTCTCAGTCTTCTAAAGCTGTCTTCATTTTTTGCCCTCCCCTCTTGAATGGTAATTTAGGTAGTACAGTATGTGCAACGTTCAGTCTTCTGTTACTTTTCCCTCAGCATTTTGGATTTACTGATCCATTGTATATTATTTTTTCCTCTCAGTTTGTCAGTGGTAACTACTTTGTAGGAAATCTGCTTTTCCGTCTAGGTATACATAGGGATATGTCTGCATGTAAATTTAATTTTCCTTCTGATGACTCATCGGGCTTCTTAAATCTTGGAATTCTTGTCTTTTGTCAATTCTGAAAACTTTAAGGCATTTTTTCCCTTCTTCATTCTCTCCCATTATGGAAATTGGGGTATTTGTACTCTGCGTTTTTCACTCTTGCTTCCATGTCTCTTAACTTTTCTTTTATATCTTCCATTTGTTTATTTCTGCATTTTAGATAAATTCTTCAGATTTATCTATATGTTTTATTGCTTAACTCACACAATGCGTTTTGAATTTAATTAACTATTTCTGAAAGCTTTGATTCTTTTTCAAATCTGCCTGTTCATTTTTTCAGTGTCCTCTCCTTTCACTGTGACTTCTAATCATATATTTCTTTAACCATTTCATCATGTTAAACATATCAATTTTATGGTCTCCAGATTGTTCTAAAATCCAAGATCTGGGGTCATGTTAACTCTATTTGTCTCCCACCTCTCACTTATAAGGATAATTTCTTTTTGTCACTTCTAATGTTTTTTATTGTGAGCCTATTGTCCATTTTTTAAACATTTTGAATTCACTTTTCTTTTTTTCCTGGTAGTCCTGTGTGCCCTGAATTGTACAGTCTTTCATGCAAAGGATTATTTCTTTCTTTCTACCAGTCACCTGAAGTGTGTTACTGGTCTGGTACCAGATTTTTTCCCACTATTTTCTCAGTTTCAGATTTCTACCACACATAGTATAAATTTTGTTACTACATGTGCACAAGATTTGAGCTTGGGGCTTCAATTTCTCCTGACGGGTGTTGTTCATGCCCAGATCCCTAAACAAAGATAAATTGGTTTGCTTCTTTCCTGGGCCAGTAAAAGGAGTCTGTCCATTGCCTCTTTCACAGATGGGCTGGTGCTTCCCAGGTGATGGCAAAATTGGGTCTCTTTTCTCATCTACATCTTATGGCTCCCCATGACATCATAATCCCAGCCACTGACTAAACAGTCATAATAGTCCTATGTCTCCTACAGACACCCTATCTGACTATGACTTCCATTTTGCTTCTGGCTGGGAATTTCCATTTTTGCAAAGAACTGCTGTATATTTAAAAATTCTTTTGTTATAGTTTACCTGGCATTTCTGAGTGTTTGCAGCAAGGAGAAAATATATTTGAATTCAGTTAGTCATACTGCTGAAATCATAAGTATAAGAGAGATCTTTGAAAATATAAATCATATCACTCACTTCATTATTTAAAATTGTTACAGAGCTTCTCATTGCACTTGGATCCAAAAGTAATTTGTTTTCTGCAGTCTGCAGAGTCATTCTTAACTAGATCCTGCCTCTTTTTCCAGTCTCACCTCGTAAAACTTTCTCTCTGGTGTATTAACTATGCTCTGACCACACTGGCTTGCTTTCTTGTTTTCTGCTTCCTGCAACTAGAGTGTATGTCCCATGGAGAAGTGACTTTGCCTTTATCACTGCTCAATCCTCAGCATCGAGCACAGTGCCTGATACATAGCAGGTAGGAAATCAATGTATTAAATACATGAAGAAGGAAGTAATGTTCAAAATTTCCTAGTTTAACTTTCTCCTTCTAAAAACAGTGACATGAACTGAGAAAAGATCAGTTTTGTGGAATATATGCATATATACATTTTTCTAGGGAGGGAGTCTGTAACTTTCATCTAATTCTGAAAGTGTCAAAGTCTCAAAAAATTTTTAAAATTTCTGGCTCACATATTGTTTGTGAACTGTAAGTTCCTCACAAGTTTTCCTTTGTCTTCATGTCAGCTCTTCTATCAATACGTACTGAACAATTATCATGAATTAAATATCCACCACATTGTCAAATAATCTAGTGCTATGACTTGTATTAAAATGTTGCTATTTATAGGTGAAAGGTTTGGTTCTGGAGTTATGGAATCACTTGGCACATAAATTTAGACATATTCTGGCAATTTTATTTATCAAGACAGGTGATGTGAATGCTCACATGTTGGCAATAGTTGCATATACCTTAATATGTTTTTAACCAGACTCCTGGTACCCATTCCTCTAAAATAATGGGAAATAAAGTATTTCTCATTTAAATTGCTCTACTCTGTTGAAAATAAGATCATTTGTGGTGAGCTGAGGTTGAGATGCTAAACAGATTGGTCAATATGTGTATAATAGTGGATTTGTGGATTTCGAACATCCACAGGACTAATTCGTAATTTCTTTTTTAAGTAATATTTTGTTTCTACTACACCTGCTATGTGTACAATGTGGCCAGGGGAATAGGGAAAAGGGAATGATACTGTCTATGTAGTAGACTTTGGTGCCACGTCTCCCCAGGCCGTGACTGTCCTCCGTTCCCTGAGAACAGTCCTCCATCCAGAGATAATTGGAATGGAGCGTGAGAGTGGAGCCCATCACATACCTTTTGGATTGGGATTTGAGATTCAGAGACAGTCAGTTAAAGCTTTGATGTGCCTATAACTCCATCTATAAATTTGGAATTGCAAGAAGATTTACCTTGCCACGTATATGGAAAATCAAAGAAAAGTCAGTTTGTGAAAAGGTAGAAAGATGAAGAAGACTTAGGTAAGCTTCAAGAGGAAAAAAAAAAAAAAAAGGATTTCCTTGTTTCCTGCCAGCTTTCCTTACAATTACTTCATTTTCCATGTACACTGAGTTGATTTCATTACGACCAAATCTTAACTAATGCAAAATTGTATTTCCTGTGGATGGATTTTTTGTTTGTTTTTCTTTTCGTTTGTTTCATTTGTTTTATTTGTATGTTTGATGGTATAATGCCTATAAGTATTAGAGTCAAATAAACCAGGTTTGAATGTTGGTTCAATCACTTACGAGCTAAGTGCAATAATTTGGACATACTGATGCTAAAAATGTATTTGTTGTTTATCTGAAATTCAAATTTAACTGGATGTGCTTTATTTTACATGGTTACACTATCTGTGACACAGTTTCTTCCTTTGTTGTTTATCTGAAATTCAAATTTAACTGGATGTGCTTTATTTTATATGGTGACACTATCTGTGACACAGTTTCTTCCTTTGTAAACAGGGCTAATAATATCAAATCAGCATAGATATTAAAAATGTCAAGGACATCGTAAACATTTTGTAAAACAATTTATGAGAAGTAAGGCTTATTATTTTCTTTGCTCTCCCCTTCTATCTCTGTTGTATCTATAATGCAAGAAGGCTTTGCTTACAAAGCTCATCATTGTAAGACCACCAGCTGGGGGTGGATAGTTTCCATATGTGGCAAACTTTTGTTTACTATTTTAACAGAGTGAAATGACTTAATTGAAGATGAGGTTTACAGGGCAGTGGGTTGGTTTATTTTGAAGCATGTAATATGGGGAAATGTTTTCTACCTTTTATGCAATGATGACTCCATTTCTGAATTAGAGAATTTGGAAGGTTACATATTTCAGTCTACCTCACTTTACCCAGGTACCCCAATCCCAGGATACTCTAATATTCATTTTTGTTAAACATCTACTATATGCCGCCCATGTACCTAGGTCTTAGTTATAGACAAATTGATTTCTATTTCCAGCCAGCAACTCCCAGTCTGGTCTTCCTCACCTCCTACAGAAAGAGATGAAATAAGATACAAGCATAAGGGGGAAAAAATTGTGGGAAATACATGCTAGTTTATTATTTGCCTGTTCTGGCATAAAAAAAAAAAAAGATTCTTGATTTGGGCGGCTCTTTACTTCTTGTCTCCTGTGTCTAAGTCCTTCTCATTTTTATCTTAACTACTTATATCCCCCGACTGGAGAGTCCAGCAGGTACTGGAGGGCTTCTTTAATGCAGCTCAAAGTAACACATTTTCTGCTCAAGGGAAACAGCAATTGAACTCTCCTTACAGAGGCATTTATCACATATTTATCACACCAGATCCAGTGGGATTAGCTTAGACTTTTGTCTCTTCCAAAACAGTGTGGGGCTGCTGTTCAGTCACTAAGCAATGGGCACACAGATTATATGCTTCCATTTCTGTTTGTCTTGTTCAAAGTCACGTCTTTGGAGATGCCGCCTGTAAGCAGCCAGAGCCTGCGGAGCACGTTGACAGGTCTAGTTCAGCTTTGAATACGCAGAGGCATCCTCCTCTGTCATTTCCTTTAAGTTTTCCTTTCCATTTTCTTCCACATTTTTATTTAGATGTGTCTGGGATGTTTTGACATTGATGGGGCCACTCTGACTCAGCGTTGTTGGCTCAGATCAGAAAGGAAGGTGGCAGTCGTTGGTCTGGTAAGCACGGTGCCTGTGGTATGCTCTCGTTAATTGGGCCAACTGTGGGTGGACGGCTTACGTCCGCCTGTGTCTCTGGCGTCAGTGGCACTGTATTTATAATTTCATAGGGAGCTTTGGATGGAGGAACTTCACCCCTTTTGTAACAAACAGTCCTGAAGGGGATGGCACAAAACACGAGATCCGAGGGCAGCAGCTTGCACTCGTTGGCTGGCCGGGTGATCACGAACCTGTGAGAGAGCCAGAGAAGAGTTCTGAGCCTCTGCAGCGGGGCAGCGGGGCCACGGGCAACGGGCAAGGTAAAGAAGTCATTGTGCTGGGCCCAAAGAGGAAAAGGGTTTGCTTTGCTTGGCTTCATTGGTTCTGACTAACAGTGAATATCTCCAGCCCAGTGCAATAGAGGAGGTCCTGGCACAGGAATTAGGGGTTGGCTTTCATCCCCGCCTCTGAAACCCGCCACCCCTGGCCCAGGGCACGGCATTTTCCTTCTCCGGGCCTTGCTGTTGTCATCATTTTAATGAGAGAGAGTATAAGACCATGGTTGGGACTGGTTGATCCCTAATGGTCTTTCTGACTCCAGGTTTATCTGCTCTTAATTCACACCACACTAATGAATTCAAATGAATGAATTCACACCACACTAATGAATTCAAACGGCACGATGCGGAGCACTTGGCCCAGCTTTGTCAAATCAGAAGACTCTGTGTGTTTCAGGTAGTCCCGTCCTCGTCAGGTCTATGCTAGCCTGAGGCTTATGCGACCAACGCTCACACGGACGGAGCCTGGCCAATGAAGAAAAGCATTCAAAAAAAAGAAAAAAAAAAAAGTGTTCTCCTTGAAACCCTGACTGCTATGCAAATAGTAAATGTTAGTGGATCTTTCAAGAACACTCCCGGCCTGGAGCTGCACTAGGGAAGCAGGACGCCTTAACACAACGCCAGGTACGCATCAAACCCTCAAGAAATGTGAGCTGCGTGACCTCACACCCTAGTGCGCGCGTCGGCATGCAGGGCGGGACGGCCTTGCGGGGCTTTGCTCCGCGTTTCTTCACTGTCACCCCAGATGACCTCTTCCTTTCTGAACACAGACCTCAGTGCTGCACTGAACTTTCTAACCGAAGATTCTACCCCTATCCTTCCCACTGAGTTCTGTGTGGTACTATTCTATTCCAAATAAGAACTTCACATATTAATAATAATTACATATTAATAATTAATAATAATCACATATTCCCTTTGAAATTGAAATATCATTTCCTCCCTGAGGTCCTCTCAAGCATAAGCTGTATATTCTCCCAAATACCATGTTCCAAGGTTTTCCAGAGGTGTTGGGGTGGGGGAGATGGAGTTCAGGCAGAGAGAGGGAGATAGAGAGATAGAGAGGGAGAGAGGTGAGAGAGAGAGAGCTAGAGAGAAACAGAGAGAGACAGAGAGAGAGATAAAGAGAGAGACAGAAAGAGAGAGACAGAGAGAGAGAGAGACAGAGAGAGAAAGAGAGAGAGAGAGACAGAGAGAGACAGAGAGAGAGAAAGAGACAGAGAGAGAGACCGAAAGAGAGAGACAGAGAGACAGAGAGAGACAGAGAGAAAGAGAGAGAGAGACAGAGAAAGACAGAGAGACAGAGAGAGAGAGGGACAGAGAGGCAGAGAGAGGGACAGAGAGACAGAGAGAGACAGAGAGAGAGAGAGATAGAGAGGGAGAGAGGATGACAGACAAAGAGCTAGAGAGAGAGAGAGGGAGGGATAGAAAGAGAGAGACACAGAGAGAGACAGAGAGAGAAAGAGAGGGAGGGAGAGAGAGAGACAGAGAGACAGAGAGACAGAGAGAGAGACAGAGAGAGATAGAGCTAGAGAGAGAGATAGGGAGAGAGAGACAGAGAGAGACAGAGAGACAGAGAGAGATAGAGCTAGGCGGAGAGATAGGGAGAGAGAGAGAGAGAGAGCACGAGCCAGCACGCCTACTGGCATCATTCCTGCTTCCACACACCGTGCAGTGGCCAGTGCTGCAAAGCCGCGTCGCCCTCTTCCGAGGCAGCAGTGTCACCTCCAGACCGCCCTGTTTCTTTTGGCCTTTGGCACTTGGGATGCACCTTCTTTCCAGCCCCAGTGCCACTGCCATCTCACGTGCTGCGGAGTTTACGTGGGTCACAAGTGCACCATGCAGACGCACTTCCATGACTTCCACTACCTCATTCTGTTTATCTCCGAACCACCTTCCTGGCCTTGCTTGGCCTGGACACTGTAATTCCCTAAGACTGTCCCACCTCTGAGATCTTGAGCTTCGATCAGTCGTTCTCAGACAGCGACGTCCCATCGTTCCTTCTCTCTCATCCCCTTACTGGGAGAGCTTCTACCCGACGCTTCGTTAGGCTTCCCGGCCTGTGTCCTCACGTTACCGTCCCGCATTGCTTCAAAAGGCCACCGTGGGCCCCTCTCCCGCTCCTCTCAGCAGTTCTGAGCTAGACTAAGGTGAACTCAGTAGACCACGCCGAGCTCTTACCTCTTTCTCAGCTCCCTGCAGGGTTTCTGCCATCTTCCCT